GGGGGCACACTGAATAAGTGGACCGATCTTGAAGTCCAAAGTCTATTTTAGGTAAACCAGTGTTACTAAAAGAGCTTACAATCTACCAAAACCTGCCAAAATCTTACACACCTACTATGAGGTCAAAATGGGTGGAATCCAGTTAACTTATCTGTGTTTTTAGATTGTGAGATAAAATGAGAAGAGCAGAAGGAAGTCAACGCAAACAAGGGGAGACATGCAAGATAAGATTCCTTTTGGGGAACCAAAACCAGAACCCTGGTCCTGCAAGGAAAAAGTGCTGACCACTTTTTGATACATTTTCACAGGAACCCCATAATTACCAATATTGCAAAGAACACCGATGACCGCGGGATCCACCAGTAGCCCATATCTCGGTTTATTGTCCAGCACCTGAGCGAGGAAACAAAAATTAAGAACTGCATCGAGGGAAAGTAAAAGAAAGTCTTGAAAAACTCAAATTTAAAGAAGGCTATTTGTTGAAAAGTCACTTCCTGAATCTGATGATCGTCAACTTGTTGACATGCTTGAATTTTAAATGCATCTCCAGCTCCAAATTTAATTAGTGTTGGATGGTGTGTGTAAGGGGATAGAACCTTAGGTTTATATTGCTGAGAAGATACACACTATTTACCTGCCTGACACCCTGATCTATGTCCAGACCACTCAGAATGTACCTGGTACCTACAGTAAATGGGGACTGTGTCATGCAGCGCTTACGTGCTTTGGAAACCAATCACCAAGCCCCATGCACTGTCACATGGGTGTGGGGGAAACAATGTACAGCCCTGCAATAGTTTTCAGTTTGCTCAGCAGGATCCAGATGCTGGGAGAGTGCATGTAAGATAAGTACTGCTTTGGGTATCTACTGTAAAGTGAACCTGCTCCTGTACAGGTCATTTAAAAAAAGAACACCCAAGTTTATGTATTCTTTCAAAATCAAAATTGGTAAACTAAGTGGTCACAGGCCAGTTGAAAGTTGAGATTGGACTTGCTGTGAGTTGGTGGGTGGGAAGGAGAGATACTTGGGTGAGCTTGGTCTGGGCATTACCAATGTAATGCTGTTTTCCAGCAATCCAAAGAGCAAGGAAGAGGCAGGGCAATTGCATAGGGTGAAATGACACTCTTTGCAAAGTTTTTTCATCCTTAAACCATGCAGCCATACAGCACAGCAGGGGTGGATGATCATGAAAATGGGCATTAAGCTGCCAGTCTTTTGATGGCTAAAATCCTTCCAAAATATGGTTTCCAATGTGAATTTAGCCCTTTAATGGTCTATAAGCAGACCGGTTTAATCTGAGTAAGTGGCGGGAAATATCAGTATCAGCACTGGAGCTTTACAGGTTTCAGAGCCGGTCTGTTGACATCTGGCTACGCTCCAGCGCTCCAGGAAATTGGCCAGTGTGTGTTACAGGCATAATGAGTCTTATCATGTACAGCAGCTCCTAGATAAACAGAAGCATTTCATACAAATTAAGCTGTGTGAACATCACCTGCGGTTGCTTTACTTAGTCGATGTTATGTTAGCATTGGCAACCAGCTGACATCCCGCAAGCAGATCGCCAAAACCCAGAGCGCAAGGATGGCGGTACAGCTACACGCGCTCTGCTCTAATACCTAGCACCCGATTGTCAGGACAAGGAGGTTACTACAGGCTGTGCCGACATGACTGGAATCTGGGCGATAGCAAACTGGCTCTCGGATTCAATTACTGATTTATCTAGCGTGAATGTGTGCACAATATAAACATTAATCCCTTAGCACTATTAAAGCTAAACTTCAGGCAGATATAAAAGACACACATGAATGCAGGTCTGTATTGGCTGATAAACTATTAAATTATTTTTTTGAAACATGAAAGCAGTGTAGGTATTTGAATTTGGCCTGGTATCAGCCTCTTGTAACTCCCTATACAGCTGCACTCAGACTGGGACAGAAAGTGAGGAACTGGGAGTCACTCAGGTGTGTTGCTTGCAAATGTGCAGGCAAAGAACCGGGGCAGAACAGCGCTGGAGAGCCTATTGCCCCCTCGGCCAGTGGTAATAAAGCTGGACATACACGGTTCAAATTTCGAATGATACCTGTTGAATTGGCCGAAAGGCCCGAGGGCTGAACTAGAGAAATCTTAAAGTGTATGGCTAGCTTGAGATAAGCTGGGCTGGTGGCCCTGAGTGAAGGAACTTCACCATTCAGATACTGATCAGAGAGGGGCCCACTGTCACTGACATATAATGTGCATTATATAGCTATCTGGTTTCAGCAACACCTTCCTTTGACATGTGATGTGAGCAAATGCAGAGAGCTGCAAAGAAAGATAGACACTGAGAGGGCTATTCACTAATGAGCTCAAGGATACAGCCGTAGCTTCGGCTGATCCTTCGGCTCACTTCGCCCGCCTGAGCACATCGGTTCAGTCGAACCAAAGGGCTGCTGTACGGGCTATTCACGTATATATTTAAATCCCACGTTTCAGCACATATGGTTTGTGCACCCCTGGCCCTGGTCTACAGATTCCTACTCATACTTACTGATCATTTTCATACATATACTTGACAACCACCCAAGGGACAGTAAATAGAAGTGGGACACCTGGAAACAGAGAATGAAATAAGCAGAAAATTAAATAAGCAGAGATCAATCAGATCTGGATATCCTTGCTGCTTTGCCTTGTTACTGTAATCTTAAAATAATTTTAATATCTGTTAATTTAAAAAACAAGTTGTTTTTGTAAATATATTGTGATCAGGGGCATTACTACAGATTGTGCCCCCCCCCCAATTTTGCAGCACCCCCTGTCATCGTTCTCGTGCTCCTCCGGGAAACCCGAGGCCATGGTAAATGGTGTTAGGATGGCGAGCGGGAACAGATCAGGGATTGTCCACTTCGCCTCTTTTCTTCAAACTCTTCACCCTTTTGTGAATAACCCTGTAAGTTTTTGTTCAGTTGCTGTGTGTTAGCAGCCCATTGAAAATAAATAGGCTGCAATAACACAACACGTCAATGCATGTGCGGTAACACATTGCGGCGGATTGCAAAGGTCTAAAGGGGCCCTAAAATGTTTCAATTGCAAAAAAAAAATTCCCCATACTCCTATATGGAAGGCTGTCACGTAACTTATGTTATAATACATTTTATTTTATTTTGCTTGCTTCTTTTACAGAATGGCCATTGTAAGAGGAAATGATTGCATCATCTAGTTCCCCAAACTTTACACCTTGAAACCACCGCTTTCTATTTTCAATTCCTCTTATGCTCGGCTAGTGGTCTGGGATCCCAACCTGAAAAAAATTAATTTCATGGAGGTGCCCTTCTCATTTCAGGGAAGTGCCCTCTGTCCCCCCCCCCCCCC